TAATAAGATATCCTAGGCCGAGGCGAATCTGATGCAGACTAGAAAAATTGAAAACATCGGCCGTAGGACCGAATATCCATGGCGACTCTATTGTGCTGACAGGGGAAGAGCAGTTAGCTTGAGGTGGTGCGTTATGAATTCTTTCAGTCAATTCAGATCATCATTAGAAAGCACTTGTCACAATATCTGATGCAATGGATACGAAAAACGGGTGCAGTTTATGAACAGCCATATATGATATCGCGAACCTATAATGCGTCTCAAAAACTTTAGCAGGGCTACAGCAGACATTTCCAGTTCCAATTAATATTGGTTATGTTCGATTATTGACTAGGGCTGTCTGTGTCTAGGCTGACAAAGGTTCACGTTGGCTTTCCACTTTTGCTCAGTCAATTAGCTTTAAACGCTACATTGAGCTTTTCTAGGCACTATGTTCCAATTAGGTTCTCGATATGCTGTATAGCTTACTAGCTTTTTTCGCCGTCCTGTATAGCTTGTAAAAATTTGAGCGACTTTTCCGCGCACGTTTCACATTTACTGATGAACTGAGTTATTGATTGTCTTTATATGTACTTGGATACAGTTATTGGGCTATATATTAACGATCGGATGAAGCTTGGGAGAAGACTTGCGTCAGTTTAATTGTGGATTAGCCCATCACATTATTGAATTATATTTTCAGTTCTGTATATATCAGTTATGTGTATAGTGCTAATAATATTTAGTAAAGGAATAAATAATTAAAAAATTAAACCATATGATCAGGGCCAAAATAGTGATCGAGTGATGCTAGATCGATAACATACATACACAACCCAATTGACTATCGGACTTTCTCTATAGATAAACATATTTTAGTAGACTGACTCCTCTTATTCCTCCTGACGCCTTATAACTCCTCTATTCGATGTAATCGTACAACTTACCAAATTGACTGTTAGAGCAAGTCTATGTACGACTTTTTGCGTCTGTTGAAAGCCAACAGCAAAGTTTACAGCACTGTATCCAAAGCGGCCTTTGCACTTTTTGTACTATGCAACATAAAGTTATCTTTTTCGAAGGGTCAATATTAAATTTCCTAATGCAAATGGATTCGTAAGCACTAGATATAGTTGGGTTTACTTTAAGTCTGTCCGTTTGATTGATTCGTTTTAACTTTTATTATGTGAATTAAAGCAAAGATGAAGGTTCAAAATAACCTTTGGCCCAGACTGAATATGTCCTTCTTAAGAAAGTCTTACATCTGCAATTATAATTTGTCCAAAAAGTCATTATTAGGATTATTTAAAAATATAAATAGCACATTGATCAAAAATTCCCGGAACTAGAAAAAAAACTTTTTTAAATAACATAAGATGTTAATTATCTCAGAATGTTGCTTTATAGAACAGCTTATAAGAATACCTTTTTGCATCGCTTACCACCACATCGTATGTTATGCTTACAGAAGGCTTAAGGGTTTTTGATAAAAAAAAAAAATGGAAACTAAACCCAACATTGGAATCCAAGGCAGCATAAAATAGTGTAAAATTTGAAAATTTATTTAAATCTTGAACATTTTGCCAAGCACTCTCTGGTGTCGAACACTTTTACGTTCACGGTTTCGGATGCTGAGAATCAACAATAGCGGCGGTGATATTTTTTTATTAATTTCATTTATTAAAGAAGATTAAAAAAAGTATCCATACGCCAAAGGATATTTTTATTATAGTCTCTATACTTATATGTGTACGCGAACATATTAATTTCGTTATAAAAACGTAAACGTATGTGTTTTTATGCCAATCTATGCACTTTATAAGCATCGAAAGTTCAAGAACACATGTAGAGAGATTGCTGTGGAGTTTCTCGATACGCACGGCAGTTTCTCTATGGTGCGGTGGTTAGTAAACAATCATTGTTATGCTGTATAAGCACGTATGTATGCGTTATTGTACGTGTGTTCATATGTTTGTTTTTCATATAAAATAATAAACATTAATTTTGCAGGAAAACCTTATTTTCATCTACAAAACCCGCATACTATAGGATTACAAGAATATATATATATACATTTTTTTTTTTATTTTTTTTTTTTTATAACAAACCCAACAACACGAGTATTTATTGAAAATTTGTTTTAAAATCTTAAACTGAAATCTCATTCTATCTCTTTTACTCGTTCGCTGTGTTTTCTGCAAAAACTCCACAAAATATGTTACGTTCATCTTTATAACAATGTAAAAAGTGTTTGTATGCGCGTGTGATTACGAAGTAAAAATTTTGTAGAATTTTCTTTTCATTTCGTGGTTTTTTTTTTGTTTTTTTTCTTTTTTGCTCTTTTACGGTTATTTGAAAAAATTTTTTCATTTTACTATTACTAATGTACGTGATTGTTGTTGCGGTTTGTACATGTATCTTATTGTTGTTTTCGGTTTTAGTTTTACTTTAGAATCAAGCATTTTTTTTTTTTTTTTTTTTTTTTGTATTCTCCTTTACCAATAACGAATGTTTTGTATGTATGCGTTGTTATTTTTGCTGCCCTTTTTTTTCTCGTTCTCTTGTGCATTTCTTCTTAAGTGGTTTCGTTATTTTTCATGTTTGGCACAAACTACACAATTGCTGGAGATGGTATTGCTGTTGCACCAAAACTTATGGCAACGGCAACAACAACATCAATGTCAAGTTATTGCAAATTGGTTTAAATGCATTTGGTTTTCATGTGCTTTTCTTTCATTTTTCCATTTGTTTTATTTTGTCCGTTTGTTTTGTTCTGTTTTTTTTTTTTTTTTTTTTCTTTGCTTGCAACTTTCAGTTAATACTCCAGACACAACAGTGGTTTTTTCTTAGATGCTATTATATAAAAACACTTTTGAATATGATTTCATGTGCCATAACTTCTCTTGTTTTCCTTCCCAACGCTTCCCAATGATGGTTGAAATAATTACGGACAATACGCAGATATTTTAAGAGAGTTTTTTTGATAAATGTACGTTCGAGTGAGACAAATATAGTTACAAATTAATTGATCATTGAGACTATAATGCAAAGTTTGCAATTCATCTTGCTATTGGTGTAGCAACACAGGAGCTTCCCTATCACTAAAATAACCGATTGTTTGATGCAGTTATAGGCAGTGAAAAGCTGCTCAGTTGAAACCATAAATTGTGATTCAAGCAAACTAATCCTAAGAAGGAATATCTAATGGGACAGCACATCCTCTTCATATATCTTTGATAGGTTTTTGCAATAGATGATCAAGTGATTTTATCATCGTCTTTTGACAACTGATGACTACAACGGCCCCTCTTATATGCATATATACTTAAAACAATCAAAACAGTAATTGGACTGACAACACGTCCAACCAATGAAATTCGCTTTCCCTAAAAAAAGTTTCTAGGATAAGGTAGATAGGAAAAATTAAATCGTGTCTTGTATGATTAAAGCGACGGCAGCAATCAAGTGATCGGTATCACGCTCCATGTGCCATGGGGCATTTAGCCCCTAATGCAGATTAACATCAGTTGGACTATTTGTTGTTATTGCCGTTTCCTACCGACAATGTTATTGAGCTTGAGCATTTTATAATGCACTATACCTTCTTTTAAAGTATGCTTCTACTAGATCTACTAGATTTTTTGGACGAAATATAAACCCAGACGGTACGTTTTGCGAAAAAAATACTATGTAAAGTATTCTGGTTTGTCGCCCTGTTCTCAAGAAGCTTATAAGATACCAAATCAGACAAATAAAATCCATGCTAAAACAGTGTCCAGTCCAGATGAGCGGTCAGCCGAGCGAAGTAGATGCTTTACGACATAGTCAACTAACTGTCTTTACCTCATTGCGAGAATTTATAGACTTCTTTTTAGGATTTTACTCGTGAAATGTCGATAAAAAATAATAATCGAAATGTGTCAATAGTAAAGCTGCATATAATCTGGCTTAGTGATCTCTTGAAGCGAAATTTTTGTTTTATACGGTAGATGGTTACGATTCTACGGCCAAATCTCTATGATCCTACATGACTAAACAAATTTTATTGCAATTCATTTAAGTGAAATTTTTGTGTTATGTAATCAAAAGAATGTAACACATACGTACATTTTCAAGTGTATTCATAAAAATCTTGTCATGTTATATAAAATATCAGTTCGCATACATTAAAATGTAGCAGATATGAGAGACAGTTTATATTGCAAAATATTAAAATATATATATATATATATATATATATCACAAACAAAATCATTTATATGGACATCCATTATGAAAAGTACACAGATGAATGTACTCCTATATGCACATATGTAAGTATACGTACACTCTTATACACACACATAAGTATATAATTTTAATTTATAACATTAAAAATGTTGACTTTGCATATAACTCATACAAGCATACAACACGTACCTATGCATACATATATATATGTATATGTATACATATAGAAGAAACACGTTATGTAAAGGTATTTCAATTTTTGTATTAATGTTATTATTATTGTATGCATATGTAAAGTGTGTGCGTTGGTATGCGTATATCTGTTCATATGAACATGAAAACATATTTCTCTTCATGCGGGTATGGTATGTGTGCATGTGTATACATTAATAAATAGCATCAAAAGCATTTAAACACACCATAAAAATAATTCATAATAATAATGAAAAATATAATTCCAACTGTCACATTTTGTTAATGTGTATCTGCCGTGTGAATACACATATGCATGTATATATGTATATCCATATGTATGTATGCTCTCATGAACGAGAGATTATGATAAAGTGTTTTATTTTTACTTCCTTACTCACATAGACATTTTGTTTGTTTAATGTATATATTTGTATATTCATTTTTATATCCTCTTTCATTCCTTCTTTTATTTCATTGTTTATTTTCTACCAGTATGTTCATTTCATTTAGTCATCGTGCGTTAAGTTTGAATTTGTGTATTTCACATATGCTTACTTTGCCTTTCGCTTTGTCGTCTGCTTCGCTATTTGACTTACCTGGCATGTTGTGGGCCTACATTGCCCACATCATGTGCGGAGCTTGCGGTTATTTGAAAATCTGCTATGGCTCCTGATTCCATGCCCAGCGAATGTTTACATTGCACTAAAAGTAGAAAAAACAAAATAAATATATAAATATAATATATGTTTATATATATCTTAGTATATGTATGCATATGTATATATATATATATATATATATAAAAGACAAGACAGTTAGTGAATAATTACGCAAGGACTTTATAACATAAATGACAAATTTAAACAAAACGAGTGAGAGTAAACAAGACAAAGCGGTGAGAGAAGAGTTCACCAGATGCGAGAACAATTACGGCAACAGTTTTTTTCCATTAGAAATTAATTAAAAGAAATGAAAAAAAAAGGAAAAACAAACATCTTAGGATAATCGTAAATTTCCTCTGTACAGATGGTTTCTTGTATAAACTCCTCGCTCGAATCACTCTATTATGTCATGTTACTCAGGTAAAAATGATGATAAAATAATTTTATTATTATTTCCAGGCATTGATTGTTGCAACTCTACATGTCAAAATATAGCAGATTGCGATTAAAATGTTTAAATTGTCATTGCAGTATCAACTGAAGTATTATGGAAGTTTTCTATTAGTCGCACACTGCCGGTAGGTCGGTGCAGACTTATCTCGCTTGTCCGTCGAAAAGCAAATAATTGTTAATTCTTTTTTCGCTGTACCTTTGAAAAGGGAAGGAAACACATATCATGCTATGAACTTTTATTTAATCAATGGAGAATAGGAACGAGAACTTTTTGTCACGTGTTATACATGCTCTATCAAATATTCGAATCAAAATTCAGACTGGTATTCCTCGAGTGAATTTTCTAATTCAAATGACAATCTAAATAAAAAACAAGCAAAACCATTATAGTGGACCACTGTCTACTATTATAATACCGTACATCACTTCATTCAGTTCGACAATAAGACGTCTTTTGAAAATAGGAGATTGTATGGGAAATAGTCGAAAAATTGGTCCAATCTGAACCATTCTTAAAGGCTTTCGCCGTTGGGGCAGAACACCTCGTCAAAATATACTTAAAATTGGAACTTGTAAGTTGATTACAAGGCGGACATCCAGACAGACAATCTTAAATCGATGTAGGAAATGGCCCTGAATCGATGAGTATAATGAAAGATGGATTCACCTCAATTTTTCTGGATGTTGCATGCATCCTCACCAACTTAATACAACCACAAGTGGTGTAGAGTATATAAAAAAGAACAGTTGCGGCCTCCTCTGAGAGATTAAAGTAAGCATAAGTTTCACATATCAGTTTCGATCGAGGTTCTCGATCAGTAAAAAGCAGATGACTGATGGACGGATTTATGCAGATTTGTAAGTTATTCAGGAATAATGCGACTTTTATCACGAAATTGTTAAATTTCTTCTAAAGAAAGTATTAACACTGCGCCTTATTCGCCTTATTCGCGGTATTTATCTTTTAGTTTACTCGAAAGCAGAAACTTTTTTAAAGCAAGAAAAGGATGAAAATTAGAGAAAAGGAAAAGTTGTAAATAGGATTTCAAAGAAACAGAAGAAATTTAAATGAGTTAATACCCACAGACAGAAAGCACTTCTTTTTGAATCGTTTTTCTCTCAGCAAATAATCTTCAATGTTTGTTAATGCCTTTATAAAAACATACTAAAGAACAATGATTACCAATCCAATCACTTATTCATAGAAATTATTAAAAAAATAAATAAAAAAAATCAAATATTTTTTACATAGCTACCCTTGTTGGCAGTCATCCAATATTCATTCCAAAGCGAATTGTACTTTTTTCTTATCCGCCTTTACGAGTTTAACTATTTACCACTATATATAGTTTTTTTCCTTCGTTTTCATTAAACGCCTCTAAATTGAAAATTTAATTTATAGTTTTCTCAGGTAATCAAAAAAAAAAAAATAATAAAAAAAAAACAAAAGAAAACCAGCTCGTATCTCATTTTAGGCGTTTATTAAAAGTTAAAATTTTTGCTTAATTGCAATATAATTTTTTCAACACTTTTTCACTCTACCATTACCAAGCATCGGGAAAACGGTAGCTATGAAACTTTTTGTCTGTATGTTTTCTGTTCAATTGATAAGAGATTTTACTCAAAATGGCTTTAAGTGTTGTTTTGATTTATTATGTCTTGGTTTATATTTCGTTTCTTTCTCTTTCCATTGGCCTTATCAAAAATTCATATCTTATGGCATTTATTATATAGTCTGTGACTTGGGCAAATAAACAAGTTTTTATTTACATATAAACATTGAGAGTCTGCAAAAGAGATAAGATGCCAATTGGTTTTATAAATTGTTAAGAGTAAGAGAAGAAGCAGATATATATATATATATATACATGTATATTGCGATATTATTAATGAATTTCAAACTGGTTGGCTGGCTGTGTATGCCTGGTAGACATTAGATGGGACTTGTAGATTTGACAGCATGTTCGAAAGAAAGAAAACGTTTATTAAACAGTAGCTTGGTAGCTTAATACATTTAAGAAAGCTTTAGCTGTTGGATTGAGCAAAGAAAAAAAAATGTTCTCTTAGTGAACTTTGCAAACAATGAAAAATTTTGTTTTCATTAAATTTCTGTTACGTGGGTATGTATTAAGCTAACAACAAGTGTTGAAAATAAAAATTGTTTTGCAAAAATTTCATTAGTCTGTCTTTCTATCAAAGTCTAAGAGTTTATAATATATTTCCCGCTAGTTCAGCGCGTTTCAAATTATTTAGAAAAAATAATTTCTTTGTCATGCAAAGGAAAAGACGCGATAAGACAAACAATTGTACTGCTAGGGGGATAACACGGATGAACCGCAGGCAGCCAAGCAAGCCTCGTTAGTAGTTTTTCTTTCTCTACTCTCTTATGTCAAAAGTGTTATAAGGGCCTAGAGCAATTTTCTGCTTCGTCCTGAGAGCGGAAACAGCCGTTTCGGGAGGATCTTGGTGAATGCGATTAACCCGAATTTCGGGAAACAGCACTTGCTGGGTATGGAGTTTTACTGCAACTTCCTTAGGAGCAGAGGAGCGAGGGAGAGACATATAATGTCTCTCTATTAGCCATACAACATTTACTCAAAGACGTTGGCGAAGGGATTTAGCTGAAATAAAGGCAACGACACTTGCAGAAAGCTGCGTATGATAATAAAGAGATATCCTACAGGATGTCAGCAAAACCACCAGTCATTCTTCCGATTTGTGTTGTAGGTGTTTTGTGAAAATTTTCGCGTCAAAAAAGCGCGAAAGCGTATTAGCGGCTTCAGTGTCATTCAACTCTTACAAAAGATATTTCCCTCTTGGACAATTGTATCCACATAAACTGTTCTCACCGTATAACATAGGAGATAAAGCTGCGCTAATAAACCGTTCTCACCGTACAACGTAGGAGATAAAGTTGCGACTTTCGTAAAAGACTTCATGGACTACGCTCTCAGAGCAATTAAGATCCATTGCAATGGATTAAATTGACTTTAAAGTCTTCTTCGCTTCTGAGGCAAGGGACCTACTTCTAGTAAATAGCAATGTTCTGTATATTCTTCCGTTTACATGAGTTTCTGTCCGTTGCTTTCAATTCAGGAAGAGTCTCAAGTTTACACGATTGACACGCAATTGGGAAAATTGGTTTTTCAACATGTAACCAATGTCTCTTTGAGCACAATTTTAGAAATAGAGCTGTAAAAAAATTATATTCTTCTATGGCCGACTCCTTTTGCTCACCACTGTTATCTTAAACAAATTTCAAAAAATCTAAAAAATGAAATTTCAGTACGCTCTAGCATTGAATAGACGCGGCCGGTTTGTTTCATTCATGAGCTGTAATGTACGATGCCTCATAGAGGGTGCGTAGAAATTTTCGTCGTGGTATCTATTCTAGTTTATGAGCATAGAGCATAAAACTCATATCATTTGAATAGAGAGGTTTTCTCGCTTCCTGTTGTAGGCGTAACGCATCCTTTGTAGCCGACACCATTGCGATCGGAAGGTGTTTATACACGGGGATGGACGAACATGTTTAAGTCGATTTAAAGTTTCACGCAGATCAAAAATGTATTTAATGTTCCGATGGTAAGTCCAAAAAGAAAAAAAAACAATTAGTGTCCAGAAATTACAGTCACTTATAAGAGCGACGTAAGCTATCTGACGCAAATACCCTAAAGCTTATTCGATTGAGAATGGGTCAATTTTCTCAAGATGAAAACTGCATAAGAGGCTAGAGTAGAGTGCCTTTGACTCTCAAGACCCGTTAGTGCTTTCGCGTACAGACACTTGCACAATGCTCAACTTGCTGTCGACTAGTATACCGCTGAAGTCTTTTTATTGCGTAAACACTAAAGAACTAGTTACCTTGCCAATGAATTATGACGATGTAATGTATCTCTCACAAAGACTTATGACGTGAAATGGCCGAGAATACCTATTCATTTAATTATTTTATTTAATTAATTAAATTCCGCTACACCCCAAGTCATTAGTCGAATTTAAGCTACAAAATAACTTACAATGAAGTATAAAGAAAAAAAAAAAAAAACTAAAAATAAATACGAGATCAACATATAATGTGCAACAAAATTTCTCTAAGCTCTAAATTAAGATATTGGGATATATATTGATACAATGCATATGAGCTGAGTATTCATTATTAATAGCAACAAATGCGAAAACATCAAAAGAATATTTGGATTAAATTTACCTATGTTTGTGTAAGACCCAAAGATGTTTAGCAGTTAGTTACGTAATACAACGCTTTTCAAGTTATTAACGGACAAAACGGACAGATCAAGTAAATGGTAATGAATGTTAAACATTTTACACATTACACGCAACGGATAACGGATTGAAGAACTCGTAACTGATTCAGTATTGTGGTGCCTGCAAGAGCTCAAAACCCGCTAGATCCTAATAGGGATGTGAATATCAATAAGTTCTAGAAGAGAAAACGATGCGAATGTTGGTAAAAGCCATGCCCCTTTTTGAAAGACTGCTTCTTATCGTTCATTCTGATCGGGGATATAAAGCCAGATGACTTTATTGGGACTGACGATGCAAATATATATAGAGCAATACTGG